ACTACTGACATTTGGGGCAGGGAAATTCTTGTTGTGAGGGATCGTCCCATGTATCGTGGAATGTTGAGTAGCATCCGTGGCCTTGACCCACATCCTGGGCAATAGCACGTCCCCGTTATGACAACCCCAAATGCCTTTAGATGTTGTCAAATGTTCTGAGAGGCACAATTGCTTCTGACCAGGAACTACCAGCCTAAACGAAGGTGTATTTCTGTGATAGATACTGCTGAATGATGACAATTTAAAAATATCAGATTTAAAAGCATGAAAAGAGTATTAAATGTAAAACATTATCAAGATCCATGTTTAAGAACAGACACAGTAGAGGGCTTTCCTGGCGGCTCAGTGGTAAAGAATCTGCTTGCCCATACAGGAGACATAGGTTCAATCCCTGATCAGGGAAGATCCCACAACCAGTGGAGCAACAAAACTCATGCGCATCTATTAAGCTTGGGCCCTAGAGCTCGTGCTCTAAAAGAGGCCACCACAATGAGAAGAAGCCTGTGCACTGCAACCAGACCCATGGACTGTAGCCCGCCAGGCTCTTCTGTCCATGAGATTTTCCAGGTAAGAATACTGGGGTGGGTTGCCATTTCCTTCTCCAGAGAATCTTGCCAACCCAGGTCTCCTGCACTGCAGGGAGATTCTTTACCAACTGAGCTATCAGAGAAGCCCATAGAGTAGCTTGGCTCCCCTTAACTAGAGAAAAGTCCTTGAAGCAATGAAAACCTAGAAGAGCCAAAAAAAGAAAACATACACTGTAGATATTTTAATGAAAGCAATGGTCCTGCCATTCTTTATTTCTCACAATAATACATATTTACAAAAGAAAAAGAATTGTACATTTTAAATTCTGATCATTATACAGATTTTTTGCAGTTGAATAAAAGGATGAATCTCTTAGTGACCTTTAAAAGTAACTTCAATGCTAATCGAAGGTACTAATTATATGTTAAACACGTTTAATAACTGTTGCTAAGCTCACTTGAAAACACAACACATTTAGCACCCAGTAAAAGTAATAAAGCAATATCATTTGAGCTAAGACCTTTTAAGAGATCTGACTTAGAAGTATCTTCATCATAGACTCGCAATCCAATTTCTCAACATACATTTTAGAAACTTGGGAGAAAAAACACGTTAAAGGAAAATCTCCATAGCTTTTTGTAGGATTTGAAGACTTTAGCCTTATATGAATCAGTTTTTCCCTCAAAAGGCCTTGAAACATTGGCATCTTGAGGTGCTATTAAAAAAAAAAAAAAGACCAAGATTTTTGTTATTAATCAAAAGCTTCAAATACTGGTTTTCATTTTTTAAAACAATGAATTATAAATTCTTTTTTTATAAAAGGTTAAAGGCACAGTGAAACAATGAATAAGAGTTGCATTTCACTATTTTAAAACTCAAAATAATGCAAAAGACAAAATAATCCCGGCGGCCAGCACCTCATTTGTCCTGTAGGGGGCAAACCTCGGAAGATAGTGAAGGAAAGGGAAGCCCGGAGAGCTGCACTCCATGGGGTGGCAGAGTCAGACATGATCCAGCAGCTGAACAAGGGGGTAAATTTATCATAAGAGGAACCAAGAGACAGGATGCAGAATTGCTATACTGAGGTTTAACAGTGGCAGGTGACTTAAAGTTACTCACAATACAGTTTCTAAGTTTGGAAGTTTTTTCATGTTTTACAGATTTAAGGATACCTTTGTATTGCTCAGAAATAACCAAAATTTATTTTCTGGTTAGTAAGTACTAATACTCAGAAATATATTCTTTTATTTTTCGGGGACGAGATTTTTCAATCTAATGATTATCTCTAGGAAGTTCCTCTCCTTTTGTCTTTGTTGCCCAATAGGTTTTGCTTTATTGGATGACCCATCCAAACTGCAGGAAGAGAGGTCATGAAACTTCAAATCTGCTGTCAGTTGTTAGCAGCTGTGAAAAGCAAACTTGAAGCCAGTATCTAAAACAGGAGGAAGTGACTTCCCCGGCGGTGGCTAAGACTCTGTGCTCTCAATGCAGAGGGCCCAGGTTTGATCCTTGGTCAGGGAACTAGATCCCACATTCTGCAACTAAGAGTTCAAATGCTGCAACTAGAGAGTCTGTGTGCTGCAGCTAAGACCCAGTGCAGCCAAATTAGTTAAAAGAAAAAGAGTAAAGGGGAGGAAATAAGGCCTCTAGATTTCATCCAGGTTTATGCTTTTCTCATCACCTTGTGATGGCAGAACAGTAAACAAGGTTTTGAAGAAGTAATGGAAAATTTACTACAGAAAATATAGGGGAATGTGACTATGACTACATTTATGCATAAGGAACAAAGAAGTTTATAAACAATTACAATTAAGAAACTAATTATAATCAAATAATGTTTTATCCTCAGGAGTTGAAATCAGTAGTCTTTATAACTTCTTTGCTTGCTCTCAAGATGGAAATATTTCATATCCAGACTTGTCGTTAAAGAGCCAAATATGAAAAATGGAACCATCAAAGGAGTGGTGGCAAGCACTAAACATTTAGTTACTTGAAGAACTAAAGACTAGATGGAGGATAGAAGGGAGAGAGTATTATAAATTACACCAGTATATTCTGAATTTTCTTTTTTTTTTGGCTGTGCCATGGGCTTATGGGATTTTAGTTTCCCAAACAGGAATTGAACAAGGGTCCCTGGCAGTGGAAGCACAGAATCCTAAGCACTGGACCACCAGGGAATTGCCTGAAAATGTTGATATCATAAAACTTTATTTATTTATTTTTTAGTACAACTTTAAAAAATAGGAGATTGGGGAGAACAAACGAAAAACATTTTAAATTGTTCCAGCTATCATAATGGTGGTGGTTTATTAATCCTATTATTCTGAAACTGTTGCATTTGTAAGGCAGTTGAAGAAAACAAATAATTGTGGGATATTCCTATGTCCTTGAAAATCTGGACTCTGGTACAGAAAAATAAAAGACACAACTCTAATAGAAAGGATTAGGCAAAAGTCTTGCAATACTTAATTTGATTTGGAAATATCAAAATAACTCATGAAGTGTACTATCTTAGAGAAAAAAAGGTATTTCTTAGCTCTCTCCTAGAAACAATAACCAATCTAGCCACAACTAGATATAGTTGACAGTCCCAAATATGGTTTCGAAGCACTATTTCTCACTGAAAGGAACCAGGCTTCTTAAGAGAAATGGCCGATTCCAGATCTGGTGCAGAAAACATACACGTTGAGCCTGAAATATCTTGTCACAGGAGACTATAAGGAAGCCATTAAAGACTGCTAGAATAGTGTCAAAGGGACTCAGAGTCAACTTGATAAGGCTCCCAATGACCAAAAATAGGACAATTTGAGCTTTAATAGGGCAATACTCAAAATGGATTAAAGTCCATCAAGTATGTTTGAATCCATGAGTTCCCTACACTTAAAAAAGTGATGTACTGAAGATAATAGAAAACAAGTTTATTAGCCTGAAAATTGATAAATCAAGGGGAAGATTCAAGTATTTATTTTTCTTTTCCTCTATGAGCTTGACCACTGGTTAACCAAACAGTAGATAGGGGGAGCAACATCTCTTTATATATAAAAATGTTCCAACTAATAAGTGAAAAAGAAATGACAGAAACTCTAAACCACAACAAATCAGTGGATCTAGGCATATCCATTTCAGCTGACATCACAAAAAGAGTGAACCAGACATTCTCTGCCCTCTGCTGAAAGAATACACCATGATTTATACAGTCTGGTCAAAAGGTTGAAACTGAGTCTGCTCAAACCTCTGGATCCATGTATCATATCCAGATGACAGAAGAACATTCTGAATTGAGCCATGAGTATACTATTAACAAAATACAGATAGCTGGGTATGTATAAGACCAGGTTCTTCAACAGATAAATTTTAAGGGAAAGAAAGAAGAGGCAACCCACAGATTAAAAAAAGACATTAAGAGATATAGCTAACAAAGCAATGTGAGTAAGATTAAAAGCTAGTATAGAGATACAGACTTGGGGGATAAACTAAGAAATACAAGGAAGTGAATACTGTTAAAATCAATGTAGTGGTTACTTCCGTGGAGCTGGGGAAGAGAGTTGTTAACTTTGATAGGACACACAGAGGACATCCAAGGCGACTGGCAGAGTTCTGAAAGACTGTTTCCTTACAATAATGTAATAAGCTATACATCTTCTGTTTGGTTTTCAGTATTTGTTTATTTTATAATTTTTCTAAAAGATAAAACTAAAAAAAAAAAATCAAAGCCCTTAGGATTTTCCACTAAAAATTATGGATGGGAATACTTCTACTGTAAATCTCGGCTGATGGTTCTTAAGAAGTTGCCTATATTATAGAAATATTTCTAAATAATAAGCCACAAATATTTGAAAAATATAATATTAAATTCTTATATGTGTATAGTTATAAAAAGTCAAAGCACTAAGTATACATTCCTACCATGAAATTACAGTATTGTTACAGTATTATGTTATAGATTTGGTTAAATGATCGTTGACTTCCAAAATTTTCCTTTCCTACTCCCATACAAGGTTATTGGTGTTATTCTATTAGTTGTTAGAACATGAGCACTGGAACAGATCTCACATTTCCTTGAGTGTCCACACTTTGTTTCACTCTCCATAGAACAAAAATTAGTTATCTTGTCCAATCATAAGAGTAGTTATCAGTATGTAGCATTACACACAACATCATCCGATTTGCAAATAAAGATCCTTCACCCACATACTCAGCCTTATATTCTCTTTCATGTGTTAATGGCTGATGGAGACTTTTTTGCTGTTAAGTGTCTAAGAAACTCAAGAACATAAAACAGACCTAAGTCATCAAAGTGAAAGCAGTTTTAAAATGCAATACAACAATAAACATGGACAAACATAGAATGTGTTGTACACTTTTCTGCCCATCAGACATTGACAGCTTCCCTACAATTTTTCAAGCAGCATCTTAAAAAAAAAAAAAAATGGTGCAATTGTACGGCCTCCTTCTCTTTTCTTTTAATACAGTTATGTGGTGTTCGAGTGATTCACGTATTCCAGAAGTGATCGGTCTAAGACCCTTTGAATAAGAGCTTCCTCAATTATATTGAAATCCTACAATAAAGAAAAAGAATTAGAAACATACAGTCAGACATGATAGTTTTCAGCAACTGGAGGATGAATGTTAAGACAATGCCTCATTTTGCGAAGTAAAGCCCTGAATTCAATCCCCAGGTTTCCACACACACACCAAAAAAAAACTCATAGAACCTAGGACTTTTGCTTTGGGGCTTGTGCATTTTCTATTTCATTTTCACTGTCTATCAGTTAACTAGCTATCATTATTAATAAAATAGTCTTGATCTGGAATTTAAAGTTTTTTATCTGATCTAACTATAATAGTTTTTAGTCAGTATTACAAATTCGGGTCAGAGTGCTATGCTCCACATAAACATGTAATATGGAGTCAAGTTAAGACACTCCCATAGGATTCACCATTCCCAGCAGTACTACTGAATATCTACTTCTGAAAAAAGAATGTTGGAAACAAAATGCTCTTTCTCCTTGCCTCCTTATGGTCAAAACTGAATTCAAAACTTTAGGTCAGCACATTCTGTAAATAAAAACTAAGAGCCCCATCTTCTACAGCCCATCTCCTCTTCACCAATAAACTAAGAAAATAAAATCTTTATTGGAAGTTCACTCTAAAACATAAAAGCAAATAAATAAAATCCACAAGAAAGTCACAAAACAGAGCAGAGCACAATATTTGGACTTAATGCCAGGTTGCTGTTCAGTAGGTAAGTCATGTTCGACTCTTTGCAACCCCATGGACGACAGCACGGCCAGCTTCCCTGTCCTTCACTATCTCCTGGAGTAAGCTCAAACTCATGTTCATTGAGTTGGTGATGCCATCCAACCATTTCATCCTCTATCGCCCTTTCTCCTCCTGCCTTCCATCTTTCCCAGCATCAGGGTCTTTTTCAATGCCAGGTTGTTCTGAGGCAATTTTTAACCTCTGAGCATCAGATACTTCATAGCTAAGGATAATATGGATAAGGATAATAAGGATAATATGTAAGGATATGTAAGGATAATAATACAGTATGCACTTCACAGAAGTTGCTACAAGGAATGAAATGAGACAACTTGCATAAAGTGCCTAGCATTGGTAGTTGAGGAAACAAAAAATCAAAACAAAGAACACTGTTTTGACCTCACTTCCACATCCAAGAATGTGATTTTGAGGGGATGGAGAGTATTCTCGCCAAAGTGACCTCTTCCTGGCCAGCCCCAGGTCATACTGTGAATGATCTTGAAAAGAATGGACTGAACAATGAAGAGTCAGAACAGGTATGGAATCAACGTGGCTTTTAGAACATCTCATGGAGCTACGATAAAGAGGAACCCCTACCTGTTATGAAAAATGAGGACACGTGGCTCTCTTGAGGGCTTGTGTGCCTTAGTGGCCAGACAAAAACATTATTTGAGAGACCGAGCAGAGATTATGAAGCCTCTGTGGTGTGGTCTGTTCAATTCTTCAAGTGGTCCTAATATTTCCATTTACTCTCTCCCCATCTCCAGTTTTCCTAACATCCATGCGCAAACTGAGTAAATCACTTGACATGCATCATCTCATTTAATCCCCACGAGAGCATTTGGAAACAGTATGTACTTTGCTTAGTCCTTACTTTAACAAATGAACAGAGGCTCCAAAGTTAATACTTTGCCCAAGGTCACAAGTTGTGACAGGACTGTTACTGAAACCCAGCTTCCTTGTGTTGAATCTGGATAATCGACCTGGGCACATCAGAATGCATGGGGAAATTTTTCAAATGATAATCTTCAACAATTATTAAATTCCACTTGAAATTGCATAAAAAGAAAATAGTCAAAATCATGTGAACATTATATGCAAATTCAAATTTAACTCTTAACATTTAATGTATTTCGATAGATGTAACAATAAAATGTACCATTTCAGAACATGGCTATGAATGTCCCCATGATAAGTAATCCCCTTTGCTGAAAGGGACTCATGGGACAATGCATCACTCTCACACAGACCAAAGCAAAACAAAAGCTATGCTAACCTTTAGCTTGTTTTACCATTTCTGATAATGGGAAATTGAGTCATAAGTATCAGAACTATTCATACTATAACAGATTTTTCTTTCATCTTAAAAAAAATTCTGACTATAATGAGAATGGCTATGAGTTGGCCATTATTGATGAGTAGCTGGTCAGTATACAGAGGTTCATTATATAATTCTGTCTACTTCTATATATGTCTAAAATTTGTTCATAATAATTTAAGTTGAAAAACATTAAATAAACATGATTTTTATATTTTATAAAATTTAAATTAAAAATAGAGCCCATGTGTCTCACTACATTGATAATGTTGTATCTGTTATTGGCCATTCAGTGTATTATAAAATGAGTGCAAATTCTCTGAGCCATTTCATTACTGATATGAGATCTTCTTTCAGTTAATATGTTTTTAACTTCATAAAAATTATAACTATTTAGTGGGAGGCATTAAAGTAGAAATTAAAATAACTGGAAAGTGAAATCTGGGTCTTTATACAATGGCTAATTATTTGCAACACAAAGAAAATGATTTTGTCTAAAGCAGGTAACTACTCTCTCTCTTTTTTTTAGGTACTACTCTTAAAGGAGTTATATATAAAATATATATATTTGTGATATATATATTTATAAAACACAATTTATAAAACACTGTGTTTCTATGTTTCCTCCTTAATACTAATACTTAACACTGCAGCTATATATGCATTTTTCCCCTATAATCTTATAGTAGGACTTCTTATATTAAGAAAGGTAAGCTTAATACAGCATAAAAACATAATATAGAAGGAAGAAAATACACTTACTAAGAAATCATCATAAAACAAAGTGTGACTGACTTGCAGATGTCTTATTAAGCTACCATTGAAGCTGCTTCGATTCTCATTAGGTACTAAACGGCAAAGCGGACAGAACTGGAAATAAACAAGATCAAGAGTTCAAGAATTTCAAATAATCATTAGTGTCAGAGATTAAAAAATTAAATAACCATTCAACAAAGTTAATTTTAATTTTATGGATCTATTTGCCATACCTTGGTATTATGTTTTAGAATTATATAAATATTAAAGCAATGTCAACAAATAAAATTGCACTTATTTCTTCATACACATTTCTTGTATATAAAGAGTGTAACTATTTGTTTCATACTTACCACTTTATTATTTAAGTAATATTACAGTCAGGAGGTGTGCCATAATTTAATTAGTCACCTACCTCTTCAATACTAAAGTTTTCTTAGATAAGTGGCTATTTTGCTATTACAAATAACTTTATCTACCCTGCTATTGTTATTACAAATTATATTATCTATAATTATATATCAAATTACATTTTTGAGGGGATTATTTTCTTAGGATAAATGACTATAAATGGAGATTATAAGGTCAAAGTCATGAACATCCATGGTTCATAATATATACTATATATAATACATGCTTATGGTTTTATACTACCACCAGCAATATAGATTATAATACACCAGCATCAGATATTAGTATTTACACATATTTTCCTAATTTAATAGCCATGAATGACCATCTAAAAAACCTTCTCATTTTGAAATATTTATAAGTTCAAGAGAAACTGCAAAATAATGCAGAGAGGTACCATGTCACCATCACCCAGCTTCCCCAGAACGTTACTTCTTACATAACTATGGCATATTATCAAAACCACAAAATTGGCAATTAATTAGACAATATTTGACTTAGATTTCACCAGTTTTTGCATGAACTCATTTTCTGGGGTATATATATTCTATGAAATTTTATCACACATATAGTCATATAACTACCAATACAATCAAGAAAGAGAACTATTCTCTCACTACAAAAAACTCCCTTGTACTATCCCTTAACTTCTTCTCTCCTGAACCCTGGCAACCATGGATTTGTTCTCTAGATTGGCTGTTTTCTTTCTTCTTTGCCTCACTGCCCGGCATTGCAGGATCTTAGCTCTCTACCAGTATCCAGAGCTCGCCCCTTGCAGTAAGCTGAGTCTTAACCACTGGACCCCTAGGGAAGTCCCACAAATGGCTACTATTCTTATCACCTAAGCAGATACTTGCAATACAAATGGCAAGTGCTGTAATCAAGATCTGAACAGACAACTGTTCAAGACTGATAAAGGAATCATTACTTTCTTTCTGAGAAGTCAGGAAAGGATTCAGCCCAGTTGCATGCAGCTGGTGTGAGTCTTGAAAAACGAGTCAGCCATAGCAGAGGAGAAGCACCACAGGCAGGGAAAGCAAAGTGGAAAAAGGTAGGAACCCCTAAAAGGATCCCGCCTGCTTAGGCAATGGGAAAACGCTCAGTGAAGCTGGAGACAGGGCCTGTTGGGGGCAGCCAGGGCAGGAGACTTTGGAACAGTAAGTTGGAACCAGTACTAATTGATATACACTCCTCTGAGCAGATCATGTGATTTCTGTTGGCCGCGTATCAAGAGTCAGAGGAACAGAGATGACTAAGCCTTGGTCCCATGATTAAGGAGCTTTGAGCCCAGTGGACAGGAAATCTACAGAAAACCTGGAATTTCAAGCAAAGTGGTTTTTGTTTTCAGTCTGATGTTTAAAGAGAACTAGTGGAGGCGTCGGACTTCAGGTGTATAGACAATTAGTTGTGTGACTGAAGAGACTTTCACCAGAAAGACCCTACAAAACAATGGGTGACAGTCTATACGACTTCAAAAATTTCTTCTGTTTCTTGAATTGGGGAATTTGACATAAGGAAGGAGAGGGTAAGAACAGGAAAGGGAAAGAAATGGTAAAGTGAGAGATTGATCATGACCTAAGTATCTAAGTGTTCACCTACACTCTCCCTAAGGTTGTTGTTTAGTCGCTCAAATGTGTCTGACTCTTTGCGACCCCATGGACTGCAGCACTCCAGGCATCCCTGTCCTTCACCATCACCTGGAGCTTGCTCAAACTCATGTCCATTGAGTCGGTGACACCATCCAACTATCTCATCTTGTCATCCCCTTCTCCTCCTGCCTTCAGTCTTTCCCAGCATCAGGGTCTTTTCTAATAAGTCAGCTCTTCACATCAGGTAATCCAAGTATTGGAGCTCCACCTTCAGCATCAGTCCTTCCAATGAATATTCAGAACTGATTTTCTTTAGGATTGACTGGTTTTATCTCCTTGCAATCCAAGGGACTCTCAAGAGTCTTCTTGAACACCACAGTTCAAAAGCATCAATCCTACGGTGCTCAGCCTTCTTTATGGACCAACTCTTAATCCATACATGACGGCTGGAAAAACCATAGCTTTGACCGTACAGACCTTCGTTGGCAAAGTAATCTCTCTGTTTTTTAAAATGCTGCCTAGATTTGTCATAGCTTGTCTTTCTTTTATTTATTTATTTATTTATTTATTTATTTTATAGCTTGTCTTTCAAGGAGCAAATGTTTCTTAATTTCATGGCTGCAGTCAACCTCTGCAGTGATTTTGGAGCCCAAGAAAATAAAGTCTATCACTGTTTCCATTGTTTCCCCATCTATTTGCCATGAAGTGATAGGACCGGATGCCATGATCTTCATTTTCTGAATGTTGAGTTTTAAGCCAACTTTTTCACTCTCCTCTTTCACTTTCATCAAGAGGCTCTTTAGTTCCTCTTCACTTTCTGCCATAAGGGTGGTGTCATCTGCGTATCTGAGGTTATTGATATTTCTCCTTGTAATTTTGATTCCAGCTTGTGCTTCATCCAGCTTGGCATGTCACATGATATACTCTACATATAAGTTAAATAAGCAGGGTGACAATATACAGCCTTGACATACTCCTTTCCCAATTTGGAACCAGTCTGTTGTTCCATGTCCAGTTCTAACTGTTGCTTCTTGACCTGCATACAGATTTCTCCAGAGGCAGGTCAGGTGGTCTGGTATTCCCATCTCTTGAAGAATTTTCTACAGTTTGTTGTGATCCACACAGTCAAAGGCATAGCCAATGAAGCAGAAATAGATGTTTTCCTCGAATTCTCTTGCTTTTTCAATGACCCAACAGATGTTGGTAGTTTTGACTTCTGATTCCTCTGCCTTTTCTAAATCCAGCCTGAACATCTGGAAGTTCTTGGTAAATGTACTGTTGAAGCCTGGCTTGGAGAATTTTGAGCATTACTTTGCTAGCATGAGAAATGAGTACCATTGTGTGGTAGTTTGAGCATTCTTTGACATTGCTTTTCTTTGGGATTGGAATGAAAACTGACCTTTTCCAGTCCTGTGGCCACTGCTGAGTTGTCCAAATTTGCTGGCATACTGATTGCAGCATTTCCACAGCATCATCTTTTGGGATTTGAAACAGCTCAGCTGAATACAATCACCTCCACTAGCTTTGTTTGTAGTGATGCTTCCAAAGGCCCACTTGACTTCGCATTCCAGGATGTCTGGATCTAGGTGAGTGATCACACCATCGTGGTTATCTGGGTCATGAAGATCTTCTTTGTATAGTTCTTCTGTGTATTCTTGCCACCTCTTCTTAATATTTTCTGCTTCTGTTAGGTCCATACTATTTCTGTCCTTTACTGTGCCCATCTTTGCATGAAATATTCCCTTGGTATCTCTAATTTTCTTGAAGAGATCTCTAGTCTTTCCAATCTATTGTTTTCCTCTATTTCTTTGCACTGATCACTGAGGAAGGCTTTCTTATCTCTCCTTGCTATTCTTTGGAACTCTGCATTCATATGGGTATATCTTTCCTTTTCTCCCTTGCCTTTCACTCTCTTATTTCTCTTGTAAGGACTCCTTACAAGAGAGGAGGCTACTTGTAAGGCCTCCTCAGACAACCATTGCCAATTTCCTAATGTCAGCTCATCCTTTATTATCTCTTATTACTCAGATATGCTCCCAGACCATACCACTATATTAATAACCAACAATTTTACAGCATACATCAAAAGATAACTGGCCTCAAAAAAAAGAGTTTCATAGAGAATAACTTACTGGTTACTACGGGGAGAAGGAAGCGGAGAGGGGCAACACAGATGTAGGGGATTAAGAGATACAAACTATTGTGTATAGAATAAGCTATAAGGATATATTGTATAACATAGGGAATATAGCTAATATTTTATAATAACTATAAATGGGTATCACCTTTACAAGTTGTGAATCACTATATTGTATACCTATACTTGTAACTTATATAATATTGTCCACCAACTATACTTCAATTAAAAAGAAAACAGATGGAAAAAAAAAAAGAAAACAGATGTTGGCCTCATCTCAGTATGGACTTGATCTGATGGTGAATGCAATGGGTCAATAACAGCCACCATATTAGAAGCTACCACCAACTTCAATCCTTTGGAACGTCTGTTACAATGGATATCCAGATCTGCCTGTGGTTTAGATTAATCCCCACAGCAGCTCAGTCAATTGAAGAACACTTTCTATATAATGGTAAATGCCATTTGGGGAAGAAATTAAAGATAACTGAATCCAACACCAAAGGAAAAGAGTCATGCATTGAAAATAATTATGGTAAATCTTCAACCAAAATTAAGGTACCAGATTGAACACCTAATTTAATAGGAGTTTGGAAGCAAATCTAATGAAGATTTTCTTCTTTCCAAAACATTTATGCATGTACGTTCCCACTGCTCCGTCAAGCTACAGATATTCTGAATACGCACGGAAATAAATTGCTGTGGGGATTAGGGCTCAGGTTTTGTCAATACAGTTTTTTAAATTTCAAACCAAATGAAGTCCTGTCCCTTCTCACAAGGAATGAATCTCAGGATCAAGGCAGAAAATAAAACTACCTCGGAACCTGGGTGGATGGAACTATGATTTTTTACAATATCTTATTTTTCATATCACTATATCCTACTATAGCTAGGTTCTCCACCAAGAGCTGGGCATGCAATGTGAACAAAGAAATTATTAATATGTTCTATGGCTTCATGAACCTATTAATTTGGAG